GCCAAGGTAAGTGCAAACAACAGCTTAATGTACTACATCGGTGCCACTGAAGGTCCATTCAAGAAGAGGAATAACACTCACAACATTTCATTCACCAACAGGAAATACTCTAACAGCACTACACTATCCACATACACATGGCAACAAAAAGACAGAAATATCACACCAACAATAAGTTGGAAAGTATTGAAAAAAGCTCCTGCCTACAGCAACATTACAAAAAAATGCCTAATTTGCCTCCACGAAAAAGTAGCAATAATATCACACACACTGCAAAAAAATTTACTAAACAAAAAATCAGAGATAATCTCCAAATGTAGGCATGAGAACAAGTACCTGTTATACGAATTTATACCAAACGGATAAAAAAAAGACAAACCACCAACAATCACAATTCAATTCAAGTTACCATCACAATAATTACATTTATCGTTATCGTTATTATCATTGCACCACCATTAGTAATCACTTCTACCATTTTACAATAACTATTAACTACTAATATTATCATTACCACCAACACCCAACACCATCACTAACACATCACATCTACTATTAACATATAAATCCACTATAATTATTAACGTAAATTACTCCCCCAGCATATTTAATATCACCAAATAAAACTAATAAGATCAGAGATAATTTCCAAATGAAGGCACGAGAATAAATACCTATTACCAGGATTCATACCAAAATAAATAAATATATGAAATAAATAAAATAAAACACCAACAAACACTTTTTAGTTCAAGCTACTACCACAATAATTACATTTATTGTTTTTTATTATTCTCCCACCACCATTACTAATCACTTCTACCAATTTACAATAACTATTAGCCACTTATATTATCATTGCCACCAATCCCCCTACAACATTACTATCACATCACATCTACTATTATCATATAAACCAACTATAATTATTAACGTAAATACACCCTCCCCCAGCATATTTAATACCACCAAATAAAATGACCAATAAGGACTACAAACCGAAATTTCTACCAGTTACATATACACAGTCATCAAAAACAGGCAAATAACCAGCTTTAAAATAATAACAAATAAACCCTTTTTTTTTTTAAATAAAAAATAAAAATAATAGTAATTTTTACCTATCATAATTTTACACAGAACCCACCACACGTATATATATACATGTGAGGAAATTTTATTCAGTGAAAAAATAGAAAAATGATCTGATTGCAGACATGTATACATTCACGAGACATTCACGAGAAATTTTCGCTACACTTCCGATATTTGAATTTCAACATACAAATGCGTATGTATATAGACAACTGCACACATATACATACATATGCCAAATCCCATACTGTCCACATATGTTTATGTCTGTATGAGCCCCGGCGGACGAGCAAGTGTGTATGTGTGTCTGCGTATCTCATCGGGTGTACGGACATGCATCTATGTTTGCATTAGCACGATGACATCATGATGACAATTCCCCCCACTCCCATAATAACACCAATACACGCAATCTACATAAACCCAAAATTTAAAAAAAAATTTTCAGTTTGTCTGACGATCACAATAGCGTGAAAACCAGGGTCACAAACTCACATCAATCCAACCAAATATGTTAGCTCTATCTCTGATATTCAGCACTTTCTAATAAGTACCGTATAATATGTAAATAATTAATATATATATATATATATATATATATATATATATATATATATATATATATATATATATATTTATTTATATTATATACACACATTTTCACACACACACACACACACACACACACACACACACACACACATATATATATATACACGATCGATGCTCGAGTATAGCGTGTTTTTATGATCAACTTTACACAAAATAGTATGGCACACTATACGCCAGTCTTTTTTTGAAATGCTTAGAAGCATTCATTTTCGCTGTCTCTTTTCTGGAGGGGTTAAAATACATGCATTTTCGGTGACTATAACCTACCTTCCTTTCAGAACGCCATTCGCTGTGTGTAGTTTAAAATCTACGAATGCCTCATATGCATCAAGAATTAACAATGTTTTTTTTCCTTTCTCCAATTTGCGTTGATCTTCGTTCGCATGTGTTTACATCGCTAAGTTATTGCTTTTCCAATGGCACCGCCTTTTAGCTGATACGTATCTATACTGTATATATTTCAGTTGTATCCCGTATTTTGTTTCATCTGTTTATTAATATTTATTTTTATTTATTTTATAATTTACATTAACTGTTATTATTTTATCTTATAATTCTCCCTTATATATTCTCCCTTAAAATATTTTGATATAGATTTATAGATGTACTAAAATATACAATAAATGATGATTGCATAAGGTTAAATACAAAATGAATTTTAAGCTTTCTTTACGGTATACGGTTATATTATCAAACAAGGAATCAACGAAACTGAGGAACATCATAAAAGCAAACCCAATTCTTCAGATATAAATTATGCACAAAATATTACGGTACATGCTACAAAAAGAAGAACCTGGAAGGAATAGTTTTTTCCAGAAAATTTATTGACTATACAAGAATAATTTTTTTTTTCAAAAAAAACCCAATAAAAACGCTATGCGTGATATACGCATAGGCGATCAGTTACCTTCCGATACATGACTGACGAGGCAGATTTTTTCCCGCAGTAGGTTAGCATTTCTTTCTACAGTAGATCAGTTGGCATCTAAGCCAGTCTGTCCTATTTACCCATAGCTGGGAGAGAGGAGAAGAAGAGGATTTATACCTTTTCCAAGGCTATTAGCACGCAAGTGAATGTAGTAGATTTGATTGGAATTCGAACTCGGATATCCGATTCTTCAATCCGATCCGCTATCCATTACTCCACCATACGATTAAAAAGAAAATTAAAAAAAAAAATTCTTTCACTGAATATTTATTAACTATAGGAAAACAAAAATACGATATCTAAATTTTCATATAAGATATTTTATGGTGAATGCTTTTTGTTTTTTTTCTTACCATTTTTGGCAGCTTCGTATAAAAAAGAATGAAGATTATTTATTTCTATAAAATATTTATTTCTATAAAATATCTATTACTATAAAATATTTATTTCTATAAAATATTTATTTCCTATAAAAAATTTTTCTACAAAACATTTATTTCTATAAAATATTTATTTCCTATAAAAAATTTTTCTACAAAACATTTATTTCTATAAAATATTTATTTCCTATAAAATATTTATTTCTATAAAATATTTATTTCTATAAAATATGTCCAGGATGATGCCCAGTACTGCAACATTTGACGACGGTAGGCCAACTAACAATGCTCAGAAGCTGACCAGGCTTGGCGTTGCTTAACTCCGGTGTCGTACGGGAACCGGTGTTTCAACATGATATGGCCGTAAGCCTTCAGGAGAAAGTAAAACACATCGGGGACCTGTAACCTTTCAAAATCTGTATTGTCCAAAAACGTATAATAATCCTTCCTATTTATCCTCACACGTAGATTTTAAAAAAGACATTTGAGTTTACTGCCGACAGTACTACCCCAGAACTTTATTGCCATTTGTACTTTTGTATCATGTCTCGCTTTTGAATCGTGTTGGTTAAGAACCCAAATCTAGCCCAGCTATTAGGTCCTATGTCACTTCTCCATTCAACACTTAGAAATGCCCTGAAGAAATCAGATTTCATGTACTTCTTGACCTGACTTGCAAGTTTCTCTTCGTGATGTTTACTTAAAAGCGGTAGTTTTGCTGTTTTCATTATCTTGACTAATATTTTTTTTTAAATAAGTTAGCATCTTTTCTTTCTGTTTACTTTTGCAAAACCATCTTCTTAAAAGATTTATCGCAGACTAATCCACTGTTCTGGCCAATTCCGTTTCTTAATTTTCTTAAATCTCTTTTTTTGTGACATTTTAAAAACCATTTTTTCTCATGTCTTGCCAATGTTATTCTTTTTGGACAGTTCTGTGATCTCTGTTCAAATATTCGAATTCCCAACGAAGTGCTCTTATCACTCCATAACATTATTATTCTTCTATATGCCGTGTCTCTTTGGGACAAGGGAGATCATGGCCCGCCACAACTTCCTGTCATTTGTAGAATCGTACTCACTACTCAGTCGAAATTGATCTCGCCTGCGAAACCTTGACACCACGTCGAAGTGCCCAAATAAGGATTTACTAAAGGTAGCTTAGATGTGGCACAAGGCCACAAGTACGGAGCACCCAGTGAGAATCTTACTCACTTCTCAATCGAAATTGCTCTCGCCTGCGAACCCTGACACCACGTCGAAGTGCCGAAATAAAGATTTACTAAGTGTAGCATAGATGTGGCACAAGGCCACAAGTACGGAGCACCCAGTGAGAATCGTACTCACTTCTCAATCGAAATTGATCTCGCCTGCAAACCCTGACACCACGTCGAAGTGCCCAAATAGGGATTTACTAAGCGTAGCTTTTACTAAGCGTAGCTTAGATGTGGCACAAGGCCACGAGTACGGAGCACCCAGTGAGGATCGAACTCACTACGTAGTCGTAAGTGATATTGCAAACCATTACAACGCCTCGAAGGGACCTAAAATATAGTGATTTACTAAGTATAACTTAGATGTGTCACACGGTCGCAAGTAGAGAGAACTCTGTGATGATCGAACTCACTACTCACTCCCCACTAGCCATTACAACACTTCGAAGTACCCGAGCAGCCACCCTCCTAAGGTCGTTTTTACGTGTGGAGCGTCATGCACATATGTACGCATATGGGGGCCAAGCACAAAAATTGCCCGGTCCCCGCAACCATTGTCACGCTGACGTCGATCCCACTTCTCTTGGTGCATTGAGAGAGGCGCTGTCGCAGGTTTGGAATCCCTGGGACCGGGAACATTCTCTCATCTAAAATGGGCAGGTCAGCCTTGGTTGGCCACCAGTCTGCCGCAGAAAGAAACGGTAGCCTACAGCAAGGAAATATTCTGCCTGTTATGGGTAGTTATCAGTGCCGGCAATAACGTGGGAAAATGGTTCAAGCATCATCGACACTTCTTGAGGAAGCTTCAGGTGTCAGGTACTGACCCCAGCGCCATCCAGAAGGATTATATCCGGATTGAGCTTAATATTATTTTGAAACCTTCCCGGCTGATACGAAAGGTTTATTAATGATGGGCACAATATTAATAACTTTAGATATACAGCTGGCATAGTGTTGGAGGCAGACACGGATAGTAAACCTACAGGCATTCCTGCAGAAGTTAGTAAAAGAAAGCTAAAAGAAAGGACTAACTATCAGTTGCAAGAAGACAGAATGCATGGTTGTTAACAAACCGAACAGCCTAATATTGGAGACATATAAATTAAGCAAGTACAAAAATTTAAATATATAGGAAGTGTCTTAACAAAGAACGGGAACTGTGGCACCGAAATCCGAAGTAACATTGGGATAGCGAAAGAAGCTTTTCAAAAACTAAGCAAAGTGTGAAGAAACAGGAATATTTCGGTAGAAACAAAGAAAGGAATATTGAACTGTTATATAAAATAACATTCCTCCTATATAGCAGAGAATGCTGAATAATCCCATCACAGAATGAAGACGTATATTAGATTCAGAAAAAGACAGTTCAAATTTCTCGGGCACATAATGTGGAAAGGGGACTTGGAGAATTTGACACCCACGAGACATATTGAAGGCAAGAGGGAAAGCGGGGCATCACTTACCTAACGAGCTTGTTAGCAAAACGAGTGCTCCGTACTTGTGGCCTTGTGGATTAAGTAGTGAGCACGATTCTCACTGGGTGCCCCGTACTTGTGGCCTTGTGCCACATCTAAGCTACCTTTAGTAAATCCTTATTTGGGCACTTCGACGTGGTGTCAGGGTTCGCAGGCGAGATCAATTTCGGTTGAGTAGTGAGTACGATTCTCACTGGGTGCTCCGTACTTGTGGCTTTGTGCCACATCTAAACTACCCTTAATAAATCATTATTGTTTCAGCGTGTTACAGCACTTCGACTTGTTGCAATGGTTAACAAGCTTGCATCGTTATATCAGTTACGACTGAGTAGTGAGTTCGATATACAGCGGGTGCTCCGTACTTATGGCCTTGTACCATATCTAAGCTACGCTCTTAATAGTTCTTGCCTTATTTAACCGCCAGGTGGTTTTTGTATTACTAACAATGTTTTCCCCTTTGGTTTTGTCACCAGTTCTCATACGATCACTAAAGTTAAGCAACGTCAAGCCTGATCATTATGTAGCTGGGTGGCCGCTTGGCAATACCAGCTGTTGTAAGCTTGAGTGTGCGGGTGGTGAAATGGATAACGTCTCGTAATTGAAAATTGGAGGGCTGTGTTCTAATTACAATCGGGTTCACTATACTCACTTACGCACCAATACCCTCTTCTCCCCTAGCTATGGGTTAATTAGTAATACTTTTATCATTAAATCATTATTATCTCCAAAAACATTCTTACAATCTAAAAATATTTTCTGGCTTTAAAAAAGTTGAAAAAGATTGATAAACCGTAGAAAAGGAATCAATCAATTGATGGTTTTGTAAATAAAATGTTTGAATATTGTACATAAACATTAGGGTAAAACTTTTAAAAGTTGTTTCCATCATCCCTCTCTACAGGCAATTGGACATTTGGGAACTAGTTAGGATTTTATAGAGAATTTTTGGTATTGTAATGGCTGTAGTAAGAATGGGAAATTAGAATGTGTTGTTTTGGTGACAGTATCGAGTTACCTCCTCTTAATTTTCGAAACCGCTACAAGGGGACGCTTTCTGGACAATAAATACTCGTCGATATTTTTCTTGTCCTCTTCTCTCCTTATCCGCTTATTCGTCAATATGTAAGTCTCTTACGGAAGAACGCGTTCCCTTTGGGAAACGCATGAATAACACACACACACACACACACACACACACACACACACACACACGTACGCACATTCAATCACTTCACATACTTTGGATCATTAGGTTTTCACATCCATTTGTTACACACAATTTATTGCCTTGTCGCTTGTATACATTTATTGTTAATACATAATCATTTGTTTGTTCTTATCGTTTCTTTACGTGGACTCATATGCTGAGACTGCTTTGTTGTGGCCATTTCATGCGACACACGTGTTTATCACTCAATGCATACACATGGACCGAAACAAAAGGGATCAAATGATTGGGTTATTGATTGTGACTATTTTAAACGATGACAGATGACGACTAACTGCTTTGCTCTACTAATATAAGTTATGGGGTGTGGGATAGACAGACAAAATTTAGCTTTAGATGGATTTATAAAAGGCAATAGAAGCATACCCTGAAAACTGTAACAACATTGGTTTATTAATACCTATCTTACTGCGAAAGCATTGACTTGCAAAGTAGTTTGATATATCGAAGAATGTGTGTGTATATAAATTTACAAGATCGGCATATACAGATCAGTCCTTCTTTCAACCCTTTTCTATGGTGCTGAAACTTGGACCCTGTGCCACAAGCACATAAATTCATATGACGACTTTCACATGTGCTGTCTTCTTGCCATATGTGATATAAAATGGGATGGAACGACAGGGTCGGGAATAGTGCAATACTGAAGAAATGTAGCAATATCACAGGCATTGAAACCATTCTAGCAAAGATATAACTTAGGTGGGCTAGTCATATTGTGAGAATGGATGAGCCTACGCTCCCCAGAAAGGTGCTGTATAAATAACTACCAAACTCCAAGCGTTCAGTTGGACGTCCACTCTTACGCTATAAAGATAAATTGAAAGTCAACTTGAAACGTGTCAACTTTGATCTGAAAACCTGGGATCCTAAGCACCAAACCGAAAGGAGTGGCGTAAGACATGTTTCATTAAGTTAAAGGGTTTAAAAAACAGTAGACGGAAGCACTGTGAATCCTGTTTTAACAAATTTCATCTGTCAGTGTGGCTTTGTCGCCCGCAGCAAGCCTGAGCTAGTATCATATTTAAGAAAGCGGAAATGAAATATGTCTTTCTCTTAACTGATTATCTCCACAATAGCCCCTGCTAGCATGCATAAGTGTAAAACGAAAGGCACCATCCAATGCTGATCCTCATTAATCGTTCACGATAGGTGTGGGAGAGTTACCTTTCATCACACATAAGTGTAACACACACACACACACACACACACACGACACACACACACACACACACACACACACACATATATATATATATATATATATATACTGTATAGGTGTGGGTGTGTTACCTTTCACGTATACTAGCATGCATAAGTGTAAAACGAAAGGCACCATCCAATGCTGATCCTCATTAATCGTTCACGATAGGAGAGTTCATCACACACACACACACACACACACACACACACACACACACACACACACACACACACACACACACACACACACACACATATATATATATATATATATATATATACTCGTATAGGTGTGTGGGTGTGTTACCTTTCACGTATACTAGCATGCATAAGTGTAAAACGAAAGGCACCATCCAATGCTGATCCTCATTAAGCGATGTTCACACACACACACACACACACACATATATATATATATATATATATATAACGTATAAAGGCACCATCCAATGTAAAACTGATCCCTCATTAATCGTTCACGATAGGAGAGTTCACACACACACACACACACACACACATATATATATATATATACACCTTTCACGTATACTAGCATGCATAAGTAAAACACACACACACACACACACACACACACACACACACACACACACACACACACACACATATATATATATATATATATATATATATATATATATATATATACTGTATAGGTGTGTGGGTGTGTTACCTTTCACGTATACTGATATTCCAGTAAGTGCGTATACAGGGGAAATTCACACACTTATACGCATTCAATTTACGTGACCCTTGAACGCACATGATTTAGGATATGAGGGCAGGTGAGAAAGGGGTTTGGCTTGAACGTATCTTATAACAGAGTAATTCGCCATTTTGTTATTTTTTGTAGACAGGAAGGAAAGTAGCCATTAAAAAAAAAAAGAAGTAAAAGAAACGCTATTTAAAAAGAAACAAACTTTTCTCTTTTCATTCATTGGTTTTGCATTCAGCATTTCACTGTTACCCGCATGAATAACCATCTATCTCGTATCCACCAGACTAAACACAAGATTTCTCGAAGCCAATGATAGGCGGTTTTCCGCCGCCCCGACTTTGCGTTTATTTTAAAGAAGAACCAAGTTAGAAATATTGATGAACAATAAAAAAAAAGAAGAAAAAAAAAAAGAAAAAAAAAAGAAAAAAACACACCAAAAATAAAACTCTAAAGCAAACAAAAACAAAGATTGGATCAACGATTATCGTTAAAACAACAGCCTAATGGAAAAAAAGTTTAACAGCTTGTAAGGCTGATTTGAAAACCTCTAGGTAGACTGTTTAATATCTGGTGCGATATATATATATATATATATATTAGTAGTAGTAACAGTAGTAGTAGTACTAGTATTAGTAGTATGTGATGATGATTGTATTATATGATGATGATGATGATGCAGTCTATACAGACATTACTCTAGAAGCGTCATTTTGTAAACTTTATTTTGACACATTGTGACTCAGCTAAATTTGACCTTCTTGTCTCTGTATCTTCCCTTAACCGTTATGTCAACTTGACCTTCTTAATGTAAGCCGCCGATGAAAAGCTTTCTAGGTCAATTTATTTTTGCTATTGTTTCATCTTGTATATCTGTCTGTCTGGATATATTGATTCCATTTGATAAAATGTAGTCGATCTGATGAGATGAATATGCCTATATTCATCGAAATAAATTTATTTCGAATATGGATTCTTATGATTTTTCCTAATTATTACAATATATATATATATATATATATATATATATATATATATATATATATATATATATATATATATATATATATATGTGTGTGTGTGTGTGTGAATGTGTGTGTGTATGCGTACACACAAATAGTAACTGCAAAACATCGGAGAAGATGAAAAAGAAACTGGATAAAAGAATGCACCTTATGAAATAATGAAAAATAGGAAATCGTAATATATGGCCAGGAAGGAAAGTAGGAAACTGTAATATTTAGCCAGGAAGGCAAATAGGAAATCGTAATATTTGGCAGGGAAGGCAAATAGGAAATCGTAATATTTGGCCAGGAAGGCAAATAGGAAATCGTAATATTTGGCCAGGAAGGCAAATAGGAAATCGTAATATTTGGCCAGGAAGGCAAATAGGAAATCGTAATATATGGTCAGGAAGGAAAGTAGGAAACTGTAATATTTAGCCAGGAAGGCAAATAGGAAATCGTAATATTTGGCCAGGAAGGCAAATAGGAAATCGTAATATTTGGCCAGGAAAGCAAATAGGAAATCGTAATATTTGGCAAGGAAGGCAAATAGGAAATCGTAATATTTGGCAAGGAAGGCAAATAGGAAATCGTATTATTTGGCCAGGAAGGCAAGTAGGAAATCGTAATATTTGGTAAGGAAGGCAAATAGGAAATCGTAATATTTGGCCAGGAAGGAAAGTAGGAAACTGTAATATTTGTCCAGGAAGGCAAATAGGAAATCGTAATATTTGGCCAGGAAGGAAAATAGGAAATCGTAATATTTGGCCATGAAGGCAAATAGGAAACTGTAATATTTAGCTTGGAAGGCAAATAGGAAACTGTAATATTTAGCTAGGAAAGCAAATGGGAAACTGTAATATTTGGCCAGGAAGGCAAATAGGAAATCTTAATATTTGGCCAGGAAGGAAAATAGGAAATCGTAATATTTGGCCAGGAAGGAAAATAGGAAATCGTAATATTTGGCCAGGAAGGAAAATAGGAAATCGTAATATTTGGCCATGAAGGCAAATAGGAAACTGTAATATTTAGCTAGGAAGGCAAATAGGAAACTGTAATATTTAGCTAGGAAAGCAAATGGGAAACTGTAATATTTGGCCAGGAAGGGAAATAGGAAATCGTAATATCTGGCAAGGAAGACAAATAAAAAATTGTAATATTTGGACACTGAAGGCAAATAGGAAATCATCATATTTAGCGAGGAACCCGAGATTATGAACCACTCAGTGAGTCTCTAATTCACTATTCAGTCGTAATTGATCTGGTGAAACAAGCTTTTTAATTATTTACACCACGTCGAAGTGTCTCAACCTTCCTCATTATGTGACTAATAAATTCTTGCTGTCTCTGATTCTGAATACAAGTGCCATTCTTGTTTTCGATTTTCTTCGTTGCTTTTTCATTGCTTGCGCGCTCTGTCCATGATATTCTCAACATCCTTCTGTAGAACCACTTTTCTGTTGCTTCCAGTCTTCTCTTCCTCTGTGAAGAGATTGTCCATCATTTTCTGCCATACAAAGGGATTGATATTACATAATCTTTCAAAACTCATGTTCCCCCCCCACCATTTCTGTGCACTTTATTTAGCTTCTGGAAGACATCTTTTGCTATTTCAACGCAACTTCGGATTGCGGTGTCATATTTTCCATCCCTTGTTAAAGCACATCCCAGATATTTATCTCGACGTTAGGTTTAAATTACAAAACTACATTGTTCAACAGACCCGTGACCACGTGATTTAAAGCCTTGGCTAAAATAATGTTTCCCTGACAGATGTGACTGTTGAAATGTCAAATTCTCTAATCCGGTGGATGAAAATGAACATTTTCGCTTATATGCCAGGGTATGGTGGATTCATGCCTTCTTTTTTTTTTCTTTTAAAGATCTTGAGTGCAAATTAAACATAGGCAGGCTTCAGCCGAAATTCAGGCTGGCGTTTCGTAATCGTCATGCCGCACTGCACCTACGCAATCATCCCACCTCTTTGCACATACATTTTACTCTCCCACTCCGGGTTCAAAATCCCAATCAAAATATTTTGTTGGTTCCAGCACATACCCATCTCCACCCCATCAACGATGACATTATTATCCACCCCCACCCAAGGCCTTCTCCTCTCCCCTCTTTCCGCTAATTTCACGCTCCACTGATTAGGAAGAAATAACACTTCACTTAGCAATTTCTATCAATCACAAAATCGTCTTCTCAGTCCGAAACTCTATTTTACTCTTCAATCAATTCGTCATTCAATTTTTGTCTCTTGGTCATACAGGCTTCGCCAAAGTCCTTACTCCAATATATATATATATATAGGTGCAAAAATATTAAGAATAAAAACTAAAGCTTAAAATAAGCTAAAAGCTTAGAATTTAAAATAGACTGTGGGCCCAATGCCAAAGTCGACAGGGCCTAAATATAATATAATAACATTATCAATACGAAAATCCGCTACTGAAAGATTCATGTAATAACAATCATCAGGTGGAAATCGTGGTGATTATTATTACGTCAAACTCCGAGTAGGCGGGATTTCATATTCTTTACCCCCCCCCCTCTCTCTCTCTCTATATATATATATATATATATATATATCATCAGGGTGCTGAAAGTTTTAATACAAAAAGCA